GCTGGGCCCGTGAGCCATGGCCGCTGAGCCTGCACGTCCAGAGCCTGTGCTCCGCAACGGGAGAGGCCACAACAGTGAGAGGCCTGCGTACCGCAAAAAAATAAATAAAAATAAAAATAGGGATATATTTTCCTTACCTCCTCAGGTTACAAGAGCGGGGAAATTAAATGAGCTAAATGTATATAAACTACTTAAAACAATTGTGACACATGGTAAGTGCCACTACTACTGTGTCATGAACTTCAAATGATTATTTGGAATTGATATTGAGAAGATATAACTTTATGCCCAGGAACAAATACTATTCATAGTCTGTACTTAGATAATCTCTAGTCGTACTTAAACTTGAACAGTCAGAAGTAGCTGAAAGTCATGTATATCTCCAATGTATAAAAGAGAATAAAATCTAAAAGTTTATAAATTCAGCTGGTAACAGTATTAGTAGGGTGCTTCTGGTTGTTCCATTCCAGGAACCCCCCTCTCCCCCTGCCAAAATCTGATTTCTGTGTTTCATAACCAGTTGTCATAAAGTCGGTCTCATTCTACTTAAGTCATCCTAGGAGCATCTACCCCTGGTATTTTTGCTTGGGCTTCTCCTCCTGTGTTCTACAAATAGTTCATGTGTCATTTTCATTTTTAAGATAAAAGAGTAAGTTAGGGCTGTATATTCTAATTTCACAACTTTAATATTTGTGATTATTATTTCATTCCCTTTTATATGATAATTTGTTTATGCTGTGTAAAGTTTGACAGTAAGCTTAGTCAGATTTATCTTTTGTAACGTTCTCCTAGAACAATAAAAGAAATTAGGTGGTTTCTCGGGATTCACTGCTTGAAGACCCAGGTTCAAATTCTGTTTTTTCCACTGTGTGATCTTAGTCATTTAATTTTCTAGGTCTTAGTTTTCTGATCTAAAAAATGAGGAGCTTAACCAGATTATTTGCAAGAACTCTTAGAGCTCTAAAAGATTCTGTGACTCTGAATACTGTGTCTTTGCAGATAGGATAAAATTAAATAATTTTACCTATTAATGTCCCAAATGATGGCTTAACATTAAACGGATATTTTACTTGCTAGCTGTATTAGACAACTGGTGTCCGTAGCCCTTAGCACTGAAGTACACATACAAATTTTATATTTGTGTATGCTTATGGGCCCCAAGCTAAAAGTATAACATTTATACTGTTGCATTGTTTTGTTTATTTGTTGAATTGTTTGGTTTATTGAGATTATCATAAGTGTACATGATAGGACATTTATACTTCTAATAAATTTTTCTCAACATGTCTTAATATATATTATGCCATTTTAAAAAATGTTTCTCCTACCAAATTGCTACTCAGAGGTAAACAGTATGGTCTGCAAAAAGAACTAACACCATACCACGTAGGTAATTTTTATGGTAATTTTTGCTTCCTTTTGCATTCACTACAGTCAGTGGATTTGTATTAATCTGACTGGGCTTTTTCTGTTTTGATTTTTAGAACTGAACAATATTTTGGGAGTCCAAGTGACATGGCTTCTACTGCAGAACACATCAGAGACAGGATGAAACTAGTTAGTCTCAAAAGGCAGCAGCTGAGACATCCCGAAATGATGACTACAGAGAGCTAATAGCTGCCTTCTTCCCGCAGATCTGCAGTTCATAATCCCGCATGTCGTTGGCATACTGCAGCATCGGCTACAATATGTTAAGATGCATTTCACAGCCAGGATAAGCCTCATTTCTTTCCATTACACGTTTCTCTCCATGTGTTAACATCTTGTAACTACCAAGGCAGAATTATTTAACATGCTTTGAGACCATAGACTCCAAGTATCTTAAAAGAAGGAACTGTAAACATTGCACTGAAAACTTGCTTTAAAGCTTTACCTGACCTGTCAGTTTGTAGATGAATAACTGATAATAAGCTTTGAATGGTGCTAATAAGAGTTTAGGAATTCTCTCTATAAAAAATGGTTGCCCTTCCTCCCCAAGTGATGTAGTAAATTTAGACTATAGTTAAACTGTTATTAGTAGACAGTGGTGTCCTCAAAATTTTACTTTGTAATTCTCCTTCAAAATTGATTATTTTTATTGTGTCAGTATGAAGAAAACCTTCAGATTTTTGATATATCATATTCATTAAAAAACATTTTCCTATTTGTACTGATAATGTATAAAAGATGTTTGTGCTTAATAAAAGGCTTCTTTTAAACATCTTATTTAATTTGGTGGTTATATCTGTTTCCAAACATGAGTGCCTTATTTAAAAGGGCATTCTTAGCATTGTGAGGATGGTTTAGTATTTGTTTTTTCATGTTGGTTGCATGTATTTTAGCCAGGAAATTTATACATAAGCATGTGTATATAATAAATAAGCATGTTTTATCATGAAAAATTATTGTGAAGAACGATTTAGATCTTTAAGAACTTATGAATAATGGAATACTATTTCTCATTTTTCTCTTATTCAACTTGAAAAATGTTATCCAAATTATTAACTTACCCTGAAGATATTTTGTTTCTGGGGGAGGAGGGCTGGGGAAGAAGGCCTACATAGTTACTTAAGTGTAATCCTTTATATCAGAGTAATCTTTCAGGAACTAAAATAGCAATTGTTAATAAAATTAAATTTCTCAAGATAGACTAGAAGCAAGATTCTGAAGTGGTATAATAACAAAAATTGTACAACTCTTTTAGAAATAAAATTTATAAAATGTTAGTGCTTTTAAGTTTATATTAAGTTTAAATGGTAAAAACATAATTTTTTGTTAATTTTTATTTCAGAAAATGTTTTTGAGAAAGATTAAAAACAATTCGTAGTCTGTGATCAATACAAAATTATGCAAAGAATTGTATGCTGGTTCCTCTCATTGTCTACAGAAATGCTCGTGTATCTTCTAACGCAAAAAGCTCCCTCTGAGCCTGCTGGTTTCTCCAGCCTTCTTCACTGCCAGACTTCTTGGAGAAAATCCATATCCATTGACCCTGCACCCTCATCACTCACTGCTCAGCACCTTGCAGTCTGGTTTTACACAGACCAGCAATGCAGTGGTCTCAATGGGCTCCCAGTTACCGAATTGAATGACTTTTTTTTCTCAGTCCGCATCCCTTATCCTTCTTTGCCTCTGCAGCATTTATACCATTGAGCAACCTTTCCTAGACAGTGTCTCCTCCCTTGAAGATGTTATCCTCTGCTGTAACTGAGTCCAGTCACATAACTCTTACTTAAAATGCATCTACTAAAATGTGTTCTCTCTGATTCTGTCTTCAGAATGCTTCGGGAAGTATCTCATCCTTAGGGTTTCTATTTTATCCCAGTGTCCTGGGTTACATATCTGGTCCAAAATTCTAAGCCTGTACTTTCAGCTACCTACTTGACATTCCAACCTAGGTGAAGTTATTTATCATATTTTCCACCTTTCGCCTCTTGGAGTCATTTTGGTAAAAGATGCAGCCTTTTTTTAATAGTCAGACATGCCAGAAAATCTGGGGCCACATTCAGCTGTTCCCTCTTATGCTGCCACTGCTCTGAGAACATCCAGGAAGGTTTTTCTATATTTGATAATCCTCAGTCTTTTAGGACTTAACTTTTGTGAGTGTAAACGTTTGTGATTCTTCATTTCAGTCTTCATGATGGTGCTAATCACGTGCTACAGTTGTTTATGTCTGTACCTGCTACATTATAAGCTCTTTTGAGGGAAGGAATCTTTTGGGCCTGACTTCTCCTGTTCCCAGCCTTTTGCTCATGCATAATAGTTTCTCAGTTCCCCTGTATGTGAATGGTCTGTTGTAGGCATTAGTAATAATACCTCTTGTATTGTAGTCTGAAGTATGTTTTAAACAGATTTCCTAAAGTTAGGACTGACTTATGAGTGAATCTATTCATCAGGAAGTCATTTGGTATTTTAAATACTGGCTAATTTAGATACTTAGTTGTATTCACTATCTGTTTCTCCTACTGAATTTCACAGAATTCTAATGTTTTTATTAAGACTTTGCCAGAAAGGAATTTGACTGTAAGTAAAGAGACTCTTTAGTTCTACCATCAACTCGCCTACTGATTGTCAGATGAGTTAATTTTGTATGCCTTAAGCTATCCTGTCTACAGCAAGAGTGAAATAAGGCACATCTGGAAATATTTGTAATTTGAGTAGTTCAAATGAAGATGAATATGTTTTTATCACATAATAAATATTGTTGCTTTTCATTTGTAACTGTGCTGCTGCTTTCTATTTGTATATCCGTATGCACATAGACAGTTATGAATGAAAACCCAACAGTGCCCTAATGTGATTTTTTTCATAAGGTCATAGTTCACTTGGAATACCTGTGAAGGAAGTGACTGCAGTCTGTTTGAAATGACAAGTTCTTTGTACCTCATAAATTAACATTAGCCCCGCAGATATAACGGAGAAAGAACCATCATTTCTCATTGGTATATGCTGCAACTTTCCACATTACTTTAGCTTATCTCAGGGAATTATTGAAATGTTAATTGGGCCAGCTTCATTTTGTTTTGTTTTTTACCTTTTGTCTTCATGTCATTTATTTGTTCCTGTGTAAGCTCCATATCTAAGGACAGTTTTGGCCTCTGTTCTTCATACAAGTCTAACCCGGCAGAGTTACGATATGCAAAGATGATAACTTCATTTCAGATGAAATTGACTTTATTCCCAGTCCTCATTGTTGGTGACCTTGTTCTACTGTTGTAACTCATTGGTCATGTTGATGAAACTGCTCAGCCTGCCAACTGAGATATCAATGGCAGTTCTAGGCTTCCCTGCTGTGTAGAAGGTTGGATATTTCTCTCACTTCACAGGCCTTTAAATTGGCCAGTGCTCCAAAGCGTTACCTGGTATTAACGTGTTTGTCGTTTGTTTCATTACCCTGTCAGTTCATGTGTGGGGTGTGCTATTTAGGGTATTATTATTATAGTTAGTGCATTCTCCTTAATGTGAACATGACAGTTACTTTTCTGATGGTGCTGAGTAAATCATACATAAACCCACTGTAACAAATGTCATGATTGATTGTGAACCTGTCTCACTGTACCATCTGCATTTGGAGAAAGAATTCAGAATTTTCTACTACACTGTAAGATTGGAAATTACTGTGTACTTTTCCCGTCCTCACAGGACCATAATAAAATACTGCAGTTACTAAAAACCAAGCATACTATAATTGCTAAAGACCTCCCCATCTTGAGCCTATTGAAAACGGTAGAGGAAATTAACATCAGTAAATATCATCAATGACAAGAGTTCTATGATTGCGGTGTCTTTGCTTAAACCTTGAAAGGAAAAATTCTCTAGGATTACGAAGATGGGCTGGAACATAGCTGACCAGTTGACCTAATTAGCAAACTTAACCAGTGTTAACTTTCAGTTCTAAAAATAAAAAGCTCCAGATGGGAGTGGAAAATACGCTCTTGGTATGTAGGGCAGTGAATACCTTGATGAGGCAAAATGAAGCACAGATAAAACACCTGACATTATTTGACTTTAGTGTGCGCTACAGAAAATCTAGTTTTAGCTAAGATACATGAATAATGGCAAGAACAGTAGAGGAAAGATCATAAAGGCTAAAATAAGAACTATAGTGAATATAATGCAAAGAGTTTGGAGTTTAAATACCTGACTTCAAAGTCTGGCTTTGCCATTTACTGACCTTGGTAAAAAAATCACTAAATTTCTCTGGATCTGTAAAATAGAGAAATCATATCAAATAATTTTAAGAATGAAGTACAATCATGTTAAAAAGTATTGAAAGCCAAAATGTCTTTCAAAGTGGAAGGTATTATCTTTTCAGAATAGAAAATGGAGCATTCTTTAATCTTGCTCTTGTCACAGGTGGAAGCATGGGGTCTTGGGGGAAAGGGAACCTTGTCTGCTCACCTCCCAACACTCCGTTTCCCTCCATTCTATACACTGAAAATGCCAAGGGTGGGGTCAACGAGCTTGGCAGTAAATAGCAAGCCTTTTAAATCTGACAAATTAACTCTTTTATGACAGGATGATAGGCCAGCCAGATGGAGGACAAATGAGGAGTATCATCTACTTTGAGGTTGACAGGACACGACACAGTTCCATCAATAAGTAAGAAAGTAAGTAAAAATCATACTCAGGATCTTAGTCATCACCAACCTATAGAAACAAGAGCATGAATCTGACCACCGTCAGTGCTGTTATGGTTAGAGAAGAGTAATCCTGGTAAACTTGGGTAGTGATAATAACAGAAAAAGACTGGTCCTGTAATAGAGGCTGATAGAACTAAGGGTGCTCCATGAAATAGCATAAATAAGGGGGAATGTTTTAAGACTGAAAAGCCTCCTAGATATGATGCTGAATAACACGACCGTAATATTTTAAAGCAGACTTGAAAACATGTCAAAACTAGTCCGTGTGCTTCAAGAAAAAGCAGAGCCTGTACTAGAACATGAAGAACTTAAGAGATCACAGGAAAGCCACACTACGTAGTGTGAAAGCAGTAAGTAAAATTTTAAAAGAATCAAGATTATTTTTGTTAGAAAACTCTTAGGAGGCAATGCACATAATACCCACATATCATGATACAGGAATTCTTAGCAAATAACTAAAAATAGTTACCAGCTTTAGGTATTATGAGCAGCGTTGTTATGGATCCAAGGCATGTAGAAAACTATTTCTGTCAAAAGGCTAAATTCTGAAGCCATTCTTGGTGAATCTCAAGGTGCCACTTTAGAAGTATTTACAAGTCAAATGCCATCTCTTTAGGGTGTCCCCAAATGTGTTGCTCCCTGAAGAGACAGGAGGATGGTTCAGATGTCCTTCCATTCAGAAAAAGAGACCTGTTCACTATGATCAAGCCTCACATCATGTTTCGGTTCTACACATCTCTTCTATTATCGTTACCCTGGTTGTTTTAGAAGTCAGTAAAAATGTCTACGCTTGGTTTTTCCCTTAATGTTTTTTCATCTTAACTCTTATGTTAGTCTACACAGCCAACAAACTTGCTCAGAATATACTATCAGTGTATGTATTATTTTTATTAAGGTATGAGGAGATCGAGGTATCACTTCGACAATTTTCAGTCAGCATAGATTTGAAAACTGATTGCTCACCTCACACTCAGGAATATCCTTTCACAAACTCTTAAGTTTCTAAGTTGACACTGTTTGGATGAATTTGATGGTTATGTTGCTATGAGATCAATGATGAAATTCTCAGCGACATTATTT